AGAGAAATGTTATGATAGAAACGTTATTCCAAAATTATTCGAAGACACCTTTGAACTTTTAACTAGGAGCTTGACCTCAATCTATTCATAAAATAAAAATGGAGTGTCTGTAATATCAAAAGAAAAATTCCAGAGTTTGGAAATGATGAATTTGTGTTGCTGTTAAGGGATTTAATTTTTTTTGTCTGTCTGTCTGTCCGCAAGCTGCTCTGAAACGGCTGAGCCGATTTCGACCGGACTTTCACTACAGGGTAGTTAACATATACGGGCGTATCATAGGCTACTTTTTTTATCTTAATATTGCGTGGACGAAGTCACGGGCAACAGATAGTTTAATATAGACTTTATCTTATATTTTTGGTTGTATATTTTATTTAACAGTCATATGTTTTTTAAATATAAAACTACATTATTTCTTCTAACTCGCAAAAAAGAACAGAGATAAATGTTTCTGTACACGTGTATCTTCCGTAGAAACACACGCAGTTGATTGCATTGATTTTTTAACAAAACTCTCTACCGTTCGACAAATACGATTTATGATAGAATTTAATACGAAGGTAATTATATTCAATCATAACTCGACGGGGCTTCAATACACGTGGACGAGATACTCAAGCAACCTAATTAATTATTGTTATAATTTTTCATCCAATCTTGAAATGATGTATTCAAATTATTGACAGACTTCCCAAAAGAAGGAGGTCCTCAATTCGTCTGTATATATTTTTTTTTTATTTAATAAAAGTCAACGAATTTATTTGTATCTCTATGATTTCTTTTAATTATTGTTCCTCAAAAACTATTGAAATGGAAACTAGAATAACTAACAAATTGTCTAGTCTAGTCAAATTAAAGTAAACTAAGTTTTAGTATGTTCCCTTAAGAATATTCATGGCTTCAGGGTTCTAAGTTATAAATAAATTGAAGATATAATTACTTTGGTATCGTATTTTTATATTAGAAAGTTTATTAGTGTAGCAAATTATTTCGAGATGGTCTTTAAATTGAAAACCTGTCAAGTCGTCGTCGTGACGTTTCATCTCATAAGCTTCTGCTGCATCCGTTTGACTGACTCTAATCGCGTTAATAAAATTCGCTTCGAAGTCTCGTACATTTTATAAGCACCAATATGCCGAGAAGATTTTGATTAAATTTATCCATCACAAATATTAAATTCAAACATTACAAAAAAAATGTAACCAAATTAAAAATGTAACTAAATGAAAATTTAAGTGATTAATTTAGTACTATAAAGGTAAGAAATCCAATATCAGATGGAAATTAAGACAAAATCTTAGTAAGCAGTAACATTCATAATTATCTCCGTAGCATTAAGAATATTAAAAATAAAATACTGTATTTTGTTAACCCTTTTACGCTAGTTTCTATTCTTTCATAACACAAAGTTTCAAATCACGAAATCTCCGACCGAATCATAAACGGTTACATTATTGTCTACGCCGTAGCAAAGCTCCAGGCACACATCTACGAAATTGTGAACATGAATAGCTACGGCAAACAAATATTTACTTTTCCTCCTCGTTATGATTGATGCTCTCAAAGAAATGTTTGATTCCACATTTAAACCGCACATGAATGAGAACCTCCTTCTTTTTGAAGTCAGTTAAAAAGAAATAAATATCTATATAGATCTTAGAATAATATACCCTAAGTATCTTGACGCAAGTAGAGAGAGACAGGGACTCGTTTTTCTTTATAAAAATTTTTGGACTGCGTCACCAAATCCCATGAATAAATATTTCTGATTGTTCAAAATTACTCCTTCCTCACTTAATGTGAAATTCTTAATCCAAAAATGACTCTATTGTTAGTGAAATATTGAAGAATTGCATTAAACTATAACTATTTATTAAAATAACAATCAAATTTCCCTTTAGAAAAGCACTAACTATGTTTCAAACTCTACTCAGTTTAACCTCTCCAATTTCTTTGTTAAAGGACGCTCCATACACGATGTTATTTGATGCTCTTTAATATGTCTAGTGTCTAGACAAGACTATCATTCGCTTTATAGCCGCATTCTTACTAGACATTATCCATTTTAATACGTACGTGGTAGATTAGAGCATAAACTGCTACAGAATGTAATATTAATTCAACGTAGCTAATGATTTAAAGTTTTGGTTTAATACAATACTTTCATCATCATCTCCCAGTCCTTATTCTAAACGTTTATGTTCCCAGGTTCTATTTTCCATCGCCTCCGTCTTCACTCCTTGATGATGTCACACTTCATGTGATCCATCACCTTTTACCAGGTCTATCTCTACCGGTGTACCTTCACACTCGTAATTAAGGTTCTTCTTGCTTCATATGATGCATCCCACCTGATAAAATGCACATAACATGCTAACCTTTTACTCTTTAATTCTATGCTTTGAATAATGTCCTTTCTATCATTTGAGTGAGTTATGTTAGGTTGTAAAACTAAGCATCACATGCAGCGATCATCTAGTCATAGTCACATTAGGTGGTTGCTAAATACTAATTTGTTGTTACATTGTTCTAGTTAAATTGAAGACTAGATAGGCTACTGATATAAATACACGTAGCTTTTAATATACAAGAGCAAAACATGATGCACCAGATGCACAAAGCGGAGTATAAAGTATGTTAACTTGTTTATCTCATAATGATCTTAAAATTAACTTACCAAATAATATAGTAATATAATCTTAGTAAATATGATTTGACAAGTTTGAAGACGATACAAGCATGGGATAATCTTTATATAGCAGGAATGTGAAGTGAACCGCGTAAGTCCAGCGATTTTTCTGCTTCATTTATCAATTTTATCAAAAGAATAATTCCTCTCGCTAGCCGCAGATGTTCTCCGTTTTTCTATATTTTCTTTGACAACGCTCTTATCTTTTATTATATCATAACTAAGAGATATATTGACCTCTTTAAAGTTGAGGAAATTTCAAAATAAATGCACATTTTAATTATTTCTACACAATAGTCTACTTACCTCAGATGGGTTGCAGTTCTCTTGTTCGGTTTTCTTTTTACAGCGACGCAATATATATTTTTTTATGAACAAGATACAAAAGTCTACGTAAGAAATAGTCAACAGGTAACACAGATACGAGTATTCAACAACAGGTTAAACATTTAAAAAGTGCAACAAGTTAACCGCGAAGGCGTAAAAGGGCTCGCAGCATCACGATACTGTAACGACAGTCGTCCGTAACAACAACAAGAGGAAGACCAAATCGAGCGTATCCAGGATACTCGAAATTAACAAGGCGGAGCGGAAGCGAAGAGAAGGCATCACAGGTAATTCAATAAACACTCCGTAAGGTAGAAGAGAAACTTAAGAGATAGGTAGAAAGAAAAAAGTTTGAGCAGATATGTGATCGCGATTACAAACACGACACGCGCGACGTGACTCAAGCGACTTGAGATATGGTATAAAGTCTGTCAGATTCAACAAGTGGTTTGGTAGGGCGGGCGCGCGTGCCGAGCGCGGAGGTCCTCTCGGCGGGAACGCTCGCCCGCCAGTGCCTCGACGTTCCCGCCTCGGCGTTGCCCTAGTGTGCGCGCTCTAGCCTCGCTCTACAGCCTTCACTGTTGCTGTGTTGCGTGTCCCTGCTGTACCCACGCGGGGGCTGCGCTCGTGTGCGTACCGACGTCGGTGTGCGAGCGTGACGCCACGGGTCTAGTACAGGTGAGCCCGGGCGGCCTCAGCGAGCTCCCATCCTATCTATACCGTTTTCACAATGAAATGCCTGGCTGAACACAAACTACCTGCGTGCTACATTACCAGACGCGTATACTCTGCCTCAACGGCCGCCGCGCTTTATTCTAGGTTCAGGCTACTGTAGTTTTTTTTTATATAAACTCTTTGTTATAATTTTTATTTTTAATTTACTACTTAATGAAATTATTATATGACGTCATAACCTGTGCTGACCTCCGCAAATAAATAGGCAAGAGGTATAACTTAAAGTTTATATTTAAACTGAAATCATAGTTAATGCCAAATGGTTTTACAAGTAATTTTTATTTTACCAGAAAATTAATCTACTAGTGACTAGTATTTGTTAGCAGAACGACAAACGATAAGGACCAAAAAGTTCTAAATTGTCAGCCTAAATATTCGTGGTGTGGACACTTGAACCGATGATCTACTAAAACCATTTAGAGGCCGATCTTTGAAAATTCTGTTTATCATAATTACAATCAAAAGAAAATTAATTAAACCACAATATCTAAGAGATGTTATCACGCTATTGTTTGTTTGATATAGGTACAAAGGGCGAACGCAAATTTTAAGCCTCCATTACGATAATGAAATGTTCGCACACAGATAAAAATAAACGAAAAAGCCATTTTAACTAAAACGTTATGCCAATGCGAAGCCATTTGGATCACCAATGTAACAAGCTAGAATGGCCGTTAGTATTTATTTAGAAAATACGAGTATCAGATCGGTTTACATTCAAAAGGATTTTCAATTATGGATATTAATTTCTTTTAAACTATCAAACAGTCTTTAAAACAGTCTTTTAAATACTGAACGTTTTTCTGTCCCTTTAAGAGCATTTAAAACTGAAAAGTTAAGCGCAACTATGGTTTTTATTAGCCTATTACTCTTTAATCTAATTTCCATTCCTCCGTTGCTGATCTAAGAAAAGTGAAGTGTGGCCTGAAGAATTCTGAATCAAGAATCTAAGCGATCTTGAAACGCGCGATGAAACATTTACACCATGTTGTTTATTAAAATTAAAATTGGAAACCGGGAAAAAAAACTGATTACTAACGAAAATGTTGCCAATGTTTTCCCCGCTTTGACATCTTTTAACACCTAGAAAAAACAGTGGTTTGCGTCTTGATTTTTTAAAGAACATCATTAGAATACAAAAAAAGTACATGTTTAATTTGCTTGATTAAAAAAAATATATGTTTTGAAGTTGTTATTTAAAAAAATGTGTTGGATGTCTTATATAGCAACACTTGGATAAAATGTCATCTGTCAGCCGCGGCCACGAATAATAGAAAACACGGTTTTTATATCGTAACAATTTAGGAATTGTATAAATTGGTAAAACAATACAATAAAACAAATTCTTCAACGCAATTCTCTAAGTGCAAATAGAATAAGTGTAATTATCCATCGAACTATGTTATAACTAAGATGAACTCGGAGTAACATTCGCGCATCTTCCGTCGTTGCGGCCGAAAAATAGTTTATCGGAAAAAATAGTGACAATAAGATGCCTTTTGTTAATATCAAAAAGCAATATTTTATTATCGGGATGTTATTTTTTGTAGTTTTATTTTTATTTAATAGTCGACCTGCATTTCAATGCCAATTTACACCCGAAATCATGCCGTATATACCAACAATCTATGGGATAACTCCGACATACGCAAGACTTGCACAAAAAGCAGATCTCACAAGGTAAGACCATTTGTCGTGTTGTAATTGCCCTTGATAATTTACTTCTTCAAATATTTAAGTTTATGAATTTGACCATGGCACAATAAATTTTAAACTTTGTGTGCAGCAATTTAATTTTGAGTCATACATTTAAAAATTATTATTTATACTATGAAATATAAAAAATGAGTAAGTTCAAGTTCACAAGTTAAAAAAATCATTTTAACATATAAATTATGAAATGAAACATATAAATTTAATTTATTTATACTTTTGGAATACTCAATTTTATTTATTGCAAAAAAAAAACTGATTCACTAATTCAAACTTAGACTTGTTAAAAGTCATTTAATACAATTTGTAACAGATTTAAAAAATTAAAAATATGACAGTTTTCTTATCTATTCATGTCTTCTGTATTCATAGTTTCTAAAATCTATAAATAATTATTGATAAAATAGAATGCTACTGGCAGAATGATAATTACATGTTTTTTCACAATTGACTCTTGTTTTAAAACATTCAAATGATAATGTTGCTACATACAAACACATTTTGCTACCAAGGAAGCTTATTCTTTGCATATATCTAAGAAAACCACATTGTTACTCAAAGATGAATATTTTCATACAGCAAATATGTAATCTTGGAGACAATTATAAATAAACAAAAAACTTATTTATATATTACATAGGCTGTTTCAAAGATGGCCTGATAGCGCTGGTCTAATTCTCTTTCTTCAAATTCTTACAAATTTTAATCCTTTATAGTAAAAGAGACAAAATTACATAGAGAATGTTATAAAGAGGATATCTTAGACTATCTACATAGAATCTAACAATACATCTTATTGTTTAATTGTGATATGAGAATGTTTCAATATCTATGCAGTAACATGTTTTAACAAAATAGTTCAATCTTAACAAAGTATCATTTCCTTGTTTCATGACTAAGTTGGCAGTCATTTGTTTATTTTGTTATCATTAACAATTGAATAATGAAAATATTCAAAGTCCAAAACATTCTTTGTATTACATTCAATCAACTATTGCATAAACATTGATTCAGAATTCTCCATATGGAAGTATTCTCTACTTTCTGGCATTTGTGTGGGAATGTGTATTCTATTTATTGAGCAGGAATTTAGAACTGTTTAATAGTTAATTAGTGTCCATAAGGTAGTCTCTAAGATAAAAAGGTAGTTAATATCAGGTTTGTGTGGTATTGTTGATGTAAATTGTCAAAATTTTACCTAAACAAACAGTTTCTTATTAAACTATGAATCATCATCATCATCAGAGGCACTACAGCCGCAGGTGGGCCTGGTCCAGTAAATTCCTCCATATTGGTCTATCTCTATGAATCAATTAGAATTAAAATAGCTTTCTGATATGCAAGGTATTTTGGATAGATCTTAACTATCAAATATTTGCAGATTGTCACAGACTTTGATGCTGGTGAAGAATTTCCACTGGATTGTTATAGAGGACTCTGGAACGAAAACGAAATTAGTTGAAAATCTACTCAAAGACTCTATGCTCAAGTACACACATCTTAATGTTAAAACCCATAAATCAAAGCACTCAACGGTATGTATTGAGTAAATTTATTTTTATGGTATTAGCGGACTTGTGCATTTATTAATAACTAGGTTTCCCCCGCGACTCCATCTCCATAGAGTTAAAAAAAGTAAGTAGACTATGCTCTACATTTATGCCAAATTTCACCCAAATCTGTTTACCCGTTAAGGCTACAAACTCTAACAAACATCCATCCATCCATCTAAACTTTCACATTTATAATATTAGTATGATAGCTGTCGCAACTTGGCCCGCGTAAAATAAAAAACATAGCTTATGTTACTCTCTGATAACAAAGCTTTTTAATGGTGAAATTTTTCTTTTTTGTAGTACCAGTAGTTTTTGAGTTATTTAAATACATACAAGAATCCAAAAATGCAAATCTTTCCTCTTTATAATATTAGTATACACAGCAAAGCAATATAAATAGATGCAAGGCTGTATAAATGTAACACAGTATCAAGCCTTAACCAATGTGTAACTGAAAACCTTTAAGAATTTGATTTATATGTTCATTGTTGATATTTATAGCATATATCTTTACCATCAGCTAGAAGAGCTAAATTTAATATACTTAGGTCGATAAAACGAGAACTTGACATGTTAAAAAACACAATGCAAAGTATTATTTCATATCAAATACTTTCTCTGATGAAATTGGTTACACACTCAAGTGCGGAATGTTTTATATTTGCTATCGAAAGAAATCAATGCAGAAATTATATTATTATAATATTGTTATAGATCAAAATGACATATCTAACTAATATTATAAATGCGAAAGTTTAGATGGATGGATGGATGTTTGTTAGAGTCTAAACCGTTGAAAGGATTTCGATGAAATTTGGCATGGTTGTAGATGATAGTCTGGAAGAACACATAGGCTACTTACTTTTGATTTTTTTAATTCCACGCGGACGGAGTCGCGGGCGAAAGCAAGTAAAACATAAACAAAAGTGCCCTGAAGTACTTCGAGAAAATAGTGTTTGGCAGTGTACCCAGATTAATTTGTTGCGACTTGTACTCTTCCATTTTGTGTATATTTATATTTTACTCCAATACCTCTTTTAATATACTATTAAAATTAAAGCTATTAAAATGAAATAAAAAATATTTTTCAGGCAAGTGGTGTTGAACAAAGAAATGTTGCATTGAACTGGCTCCGTGAACATTTACTGAAGATTCATGATACAAAGGGTGTTGTGTATTTCATGGATGATGATAATACATATTCCCTGAAAGTTTTTGATGAGGTATGTTAATTTTGAATCTCTTAAACTACCATGACCCTTGTGACAGTAGATATTGTTACCTCTTTTTTTTATTTTTTTTTATAATATAGGGTGGCAAACGAGCAAGCGGCCACCTGAATCCACCCAAATGAAAAGCGACCGCTGCCCATAAACATCCGCAATTGCAGATGCGTTGCCTACCCTTCATTGACGGAAGAGGAGACGCACGTAAAGAGGATATTTCCCCTTCCCATGCATCTCCTCCACCGTAAAATCCACTTTTCCTTTTCATCCTTTCCCCTTAAGAAAACGGTGGAAAGGGAAAGGGACTAAAATTAGGCCTCCGGCACCACACTCATCAGACGAAACGCGGAATTGCATCCACTTCACGTCTGTCTTCTGTGTGGTCGTGGTATTACACATTTGTGCGAAGATCTTAAAGCGGGCTCTACCACTGTTCTCTTTCTTTCCCTATGGCAAAAACAGAGACAATTGGTAATGCAAGTGTAACGGCAGTTTATGGTTACCGCTACTTTACACTGATTGAACTTTCAATGTTTTATATGTGAATGTTTTGTGGCTGTAAATAGTTTTGTGTTACTCGTTTAATACGTTGTTGCTACAGAATAATTGTGCCAATAATGACAATTTAGAGCAATAGAGTGCTAAAATAAGTATGACATTGTTCTGACAATCAATGTGAGTTTGCATTCATTTTTGTTAGCTATACGGACGATTACTGAAACGAGATTCAAATATGTAACAGCACCTTAAATGATAAGGCCACGCTTAAACTCCAAATCCCATTAAAATTGTTTAGCTGAACATAATCTTGCTTGTTTTTTGTTTACTTTTATTCCAATAATTTATTTTTTGTTTTATTACAGTTTGTAAGGTAAGGATAAATTTAATAAAAAAACCGTTTTATCATATAATTCAGTAGTTTTACGTATTGTTAGGTTGTCATTATAGCAATAAACTTTTAGTATGTATGTTGTAATCTAGACTTTGTCTAATCCAGTCACTTGTAATCCGACGTCCATTTTCTTGATTCATAAATTAATAATTTCATATAAATTTTTATTTACATACTTTTTAGTACATATTTATATTTGATTGCAATTATTTCGTAAAGTAACATAAGTATTTTTGTAATAATAATGACGTTAATATTAGTCCATTGAAGAGAACATCATAGTCTTATTGAATCTGTAATTTGTTGGATTACAAGGGAGGTTTTGTAAATAAAATAACATCCGGATTATAGGGTCTTAAGCAATACCACATAATTTGATAAATTCGATAGTTCTACACTGTTTTACATAAGGTTTATTGGATTATTGCAGTTCTGTAATGTATTTTGTTTAGATGTTACTAAAGCTTATGTTTTTTTTTAAATTTCCAGATGCGAAAAATAAAAAAAGTTGGAGTATGGCCTGTCGGTATTGTGGGTGGAATGAGAGTAGAAATGCCACTTGTGACTGATGGCAAAGTGTCAGGATACAATGCTGTGTGGAAGCCATTCAGACCATTCCCAATAGATATGGCCGGATTTGCAATAAATGCTACATTATTTGTAGACCATCCCGAGGCAAAGTTTTCAAGGAAGGTTCAGTCCGGTTTTCAGGTAAATGTTTGTAAATCCTACTTCTTATGGTACACACAGTATAGTTCAATAGAAGTATATGAAATCTACCACAGATGTAGAACATAATGTGGAAGTACACAGGCTTTTAATTACTAACTTATTTTTTAATTTGTGTCGACAAGGAACCAGAAAAATGCTAGTATATTAATTAAAATAAGTAGGCTAAAAATATTAAAAAAGATATCTTTATTCAGTCTTATTTTTTAATTAGATAAAACTAATTAACGTATGATTTAAATATGTAACATTCGTTATCTGCGATTTGTTAAGGCAATTGTTCGGGTAAAGTCAAGCTATAATCAACATTAACGCGTTTAAACAATAGTTAAATAAGCAGAAAAAAGCTGATAGTACCAGATCTTTCCGGTTTTATGTATGGGCATATTAAAAAAAATGAAAACCACATGTTTGTGGACTCAAAAACATTTTATAACTCGATATTGACTAACAGAATTTAATTTTGGCGAATAGCAAAAGATCAAGGAAAATTAAAAAAAATATTTAACATTTAGGATAACTTTATGTAAAAGTAAATTATGTGTAATTAATTTAGGGGCTGTCCTTAAATTCCTCTGGTGTTGTGTGGTGAGTCTTTAGACTACACTCACCCCTGTATATAAAATCACGAGAAGTTTTATACAATGTATTAATAAAATTCACACTAGATTTAACTAGCTGTTGCTTCGCCTTCGTCCGCAAGGAAGTAAAAAAAATAATAAACACAGCCAATGCTACACAGTGATAACGTAGCTATTTATAGGTGAAAGAATTTTAAATATCAGCCCAGTTTTTGAGTTATTTCAATACATACAAAAATACAAATCTTTCCTCTTTATAATATAAGTATAGAAGTATCGATTTACATCAGGTAAATAAATACCTATTATAATTTTTTAAACCACTCCCTTATTGGACGATGTCTTAATCATCATCACTAGCTCACTATATGTCCCCACTGAGGGACTCGGAGCCTACCCTAAGTAAGGACTAGGCCATAGTCAACCACGCTGGCCCACTGCTGGTTGGTTGACTTCACACATATCTTTGAATTTCTTCGCCGATATGTGCAGGCATCGCGATGTTTTCCTTCACCGTAGGCACGTCGGGTAAATTATGTACATATGAAAATTCGAAAAAATCGAAAATCACATTGGTACATGGCGGGATTCGAACCCAAGACTTGTAGATTACAAGTCAAGTGCTTAAACCACTGAGCCACCAACCCTCTCATGTCATAATGAATTAGGTATAAATGTGTGTATATTTACTTTACAAGTAATAATAATTGTTGGAAGAAAATAGAGTGATAATTTGTCAGCCGAGTTTACTGACCGATAGTGTGATTCAATTAATCTTTACACATATATGCTTGTTTATGTAAATAGAACATAAGCGTGCCAATTTTACTGAGGTCATGACAATTAAGGATCGTTAAGCTCTGGTTTCACTAAAAAAAATATTAAACATATAGAATTATGTATTTCTTAATTTCTTTACTATACTCTAAATTTAAACCTAAAAATGTGTTATTACTGAAGGAACGAAAGAAAACGAAAGACTGAAAAGAGAGAAAAGAGACTGAAGGTGTATTTCTTTAATGTTTATAAATATTAAATAAACATTTTGTGTGATGTAACGTCGATATTCTACTCCAGTGAAACCGCACTCTTAACCGTGATAACTGGTGAACCGTAAATGTAGTTGAGTTCAGACCGCACTCGAGATATTTGCTCGTTATCGCGCTATGAATACTATTTTAAATTAACCTCTTTATCAGTAATTTCCTGGACGTAACGGTTACAGTTTTACTTATAATAATATTAAAAATATTTAATTAATGCTCTGACCTTAGCTTAGAATTGCGTTAATTTTTGTTTGATGCTGTCGTTTTCATTTTTTTTTCGAATTAGTTATTCAGTATTCGAAAGTTGGAAAAAAGCGCCATCTATTACAAAGTTGAGAAATCCCTTTATCATGGACACTAACCACAGACATTCAAAGATGGCGTTAATTATTTAGTATTTTTTTAATTTTTCAGGAAAGTGAGATTCTCAAATACGTGGTTACAAAAGAAGATTTGGAACCGCTGGCGGAGAATTGCACCAAAGTGTACGTGTGGCACACCCGCACACAAACACCTTCAATACTCAACCCGAAGAAATTGAAACATCCTCCTATGCCTGATGGACATATTGAAGTGTGAACTCGATACTGCCGTAAAGTATTAAAGATTCAATGCGACGATCAAATATTTTGAATCTATAATTCATTGTGGATATCTGGTGTATTGACCTTGATTGACACAGCCATATTGTATTACTAATTTAATATTGCGATCAACATTTTTAATTTAGAATTTAATATGGCTATCAACTATTTTGAATTTGGAATTCAATATGGCTATCAACTATTTTGAATTTAGAACTCAATATTGCGATCAAAAATTTTGAATTTAGAATTGAATATGACTATCAACTATTTTGAATTTAGAATTCAATATTGCGGTCAAAAAATTTGAATTCTATTCAATATGGCTATCAATTATTTTGAATTTGGAATTCAATATTGGGATCATTAATTTTAAATTCAAAATTCAATATGGCCGTCTCGTATGAAGTTTGAGTTCAATACAACAGGAAACCATAAAGGTGTGCGTCACCTTACTTTAATGTTAATAAACTTTTGGATTCCTGTTAGAGTTTTAGGCGTACATTAAGTGTACAGGGTGGTAAATTCAAAAGGCGTCCTATCACAAAAAAATCTCCTAGCTATATACTATCTTAGACATAGACTAGTTGCTTTAATAGAATTTCCCTGTGGATTACTCAAAATTAACTATAATATGTATGTAATGACCATACTCTACTTTTCTTTACATAATCTTAGCTTTTTTTATTTAAATCAGTATTATACAAATTCTCTTAAATATTTTTTATCAATAATTTCGACTTTTAGTGATCGCTAGATTGTTTAGTTTTACATATAGACATTATTTTTGTATATCGGTTCTTTTGACTTTTGGCTTTTTAAAAAAATCACAAATTTTTTACTCTATGTAGGTTTTAAGCGATTTTTTTACTCTTTGTTACAATTAAATGGAGGAATTTGTAGAATGAAATCGGATTATTCGGGTTTTTAAAATTTTATATATGACATTTGCTTAAAAACTATGATGATTATTTTCAACTTAATTTTATTCTGTAGTCAGTATTTTTATTTTAATATAGAAAAAATCCAATTTCTCGGTACAACTTGAACCATATTAATATATTTTTACTATTATTTTATTTTACTCAGTGATATATGAGAAAACTTAACACTTAAGGTTGCTTAAACGGTAACTAACTTGAAGTGCTTGGTAAGTTACCAGTGTTTTTTGATTTATTTTTCTTGCAATTGTAGCTAGTTATGATTATTGTCATATTTACAACGAATATGTTTTATTTTATTTTATACATGTTTCTTTTATTCTTAGTAGTAAGAAAACTCTATGTTTATCGATATTTGATAATTTTCTTTACCAAATGTCTCCTTTACTACATAAAGTCGCCATAGAATAAAAATTAAGAAATACACATTTTGTCTAGAGTACCAAGTTTTGTCATACAATTTTAACAAAAACAATTGATAACAACCCAGTTTGTAAAAATAACTTTAGTGTAGTAAAATATGTTATAGGATACTCAAATATGCGTTTTTCGTGTTATTTAGAATTGCATATCTTTTTAATGAATGTCACAACGATAAGCAATATACCGAATGAGGTAAACCACAAAATATATTTTTATAATGTTTAGTCTGTAATCACCCTTATATAATTTACACTCTTTTGTTATAACCCGAGGACCTATCACGAAGATTTGCGAGTATTTTTTCGAAACATCATCGTCTTAAAAAAATATGGAAAATATTTATTTTAAGAAAAATTATCTCAAATTTAACCTAATTTACATTTTTTTTACACACTAAACACAAACTAAAATAAACACAAAACAGTAAAGTACGTAAATAAGTATTAGATTTATGCGGAATCACTATCAAATGTCATACAAAATTTGCTGATAACTTAACGAAAACTTTCTCGCAAATTTTCGTGATAGTTCCTCTGTTTATACTTTGTTTAAAAAATTTAGTCTTCGTAAATTATTTTAATTTATGAAATAGTAAAATATGAGAGCGCAATGGTTATCTGACGTATGATTGGTATTCCCTCTCTATCGCACATATGGCAGTCTTGTTCTATCCCTTTCTTTCATATGAAATGCTGTATTCCATAGCTTCACGTGTTATGACACACAATATTCGTGGCTTTTACCTTTACTTTTTTGTATTAGTTAATTTAATTTTCTGTGTAACTTATGTAAGTTTGAGGCACAATTTATTTTAAAGTTGTAAATACTTTAACAATACGTGCAATATGCGGTTTTACTGGTGAAGGTATGTTTCATTTGTCTATTTTGATTATCTTGCCCTTAAAATGGACAATTGAACGGGGACTTAAATAGTTTATTTTCTATAATCATAATTTAATTCATTTAAATAATAAAAGGGCTTATTTTCTTAATTTTAAATTGAACCCTTTTACATTCCACATTTATTCCTTTTCCAAATTATACTTATTGGGTTTTTGTTGCGTAGACAAACAATTTATTGGTATATTTAGCTGACTAAATAATTCTTATTCTAATTATGGGTATGATTAAATATGAACATAGAAAGTGTATTTAAAAATTAGTTTTATTCAGCATAATAATTCCTAGATTTATTGCTCAAGCATCTCAGTCGGTCTAAAACATATCCCCCTTTATAATTTAGTACGCGTCAGACTAAACCTCTGAAGTTAGCTGCACGCAGCGCAACTGACAGTATGTTCTGTCTCTTTCTCACTCGTAGTTTAATGTGTTTTGTCCCGCTTACTTCGTTTCTGCGTGTCGCAGCTAACTTCAGACTATTGACGTTTATTTGTACTTATTGTAACGTGTACATTATTTAAGCAATAATTTACTGTATTATAATTTTTAATTGCGATCAATTATTATTGTAACTTTCGAATTGTCCCATATAGGGATATTAGTTTGTAAATAAATTTATATACATTTATTTTATTGTAGATAATAGTGTTTTATTATTTATTTATAGATTTTATATTTGGTTTTTGTGTAGGAGAAAAATTCATATAAAAAGTTCAGCTTTCGACGTTTTAAGAGATTTTACTTTCAATAATGGTGCAATCTTAATTAGAATTATTTGATTTCTCTACATAATGTTGCTTTTAAAATTTTGGCCTAAATATAATAATCGTAAAATACTCTTATCTACTCAAAAACATTTGCTAAATTTAAAGTGAATTTATTATTATTAATATAGATCTCTTTATATGAATTTATGAAGATGTAAAACGCATTCTTGCTTTGAAATTCATGAAAATGTTGCAGAAAATAGGTGTACTAAATATTTTATATCGCAACTGTGTTAAGAAAAGAAATCATGAAGACATTGTTTTTTTGTAAATTTATACATTTTTCATTGTATTTTATAAAAAAAAAATATGGCAGAACTTTTATAATAGATAAATAGATTTTTCGTATTAAACAGAATACAACATGAAATCAACAGTTATTTAAAATCCTGCTTAATTTTTGCATATAAAATCTCATACCACTAACGAAACATTAATAAAGTTATTTCGAAAATATTCGAGTTTTATTTCTACCAAATATACAAGATTACGAATTATCGCACTTATAGTCGTTAATTGTTGCCTCTTAGTGCAGTTTTAATAGGAGGGCTGTTCAGAGGTCTCGTATCAAAGCTGTGAAAAACATATTTAGATTCACCCACGTTTGACATTGAATCTTGTTTCTTACCTAAGAGGTCAAATTAAAAAAAAAACCTTGAAAGACGATTTATGCTGAAAATCGTTTAGCTTGATTTCAAAGTGTTTTTGTGGATGGAATAAAGGTTGCTTTACAAACTGCACCCAATTTTTAGACATGGGGGAAGAGTTTCGTAAATTCGTTTATTAGTGTTCGCCTAGGCAGTACCAAGTCAGTAATTACGGCTATGCGTTTATATAGACAATAAAACAACGTGGACACAAGTCCGCAGTGTTCATATAATAAACATTTACCTAAGCTAAACCGTGCTGTAAAGTCATGATTAGTTTCCGCAGGCGTGCAACTTTCAAGTACTTAATGCAAAGATGAGTGCTTAGCTGTACAGGCTCCTGTGCTATAATTTGCATCAAGCTAGGAACCTTTTCAAACTTCATTTCTGACCCAAATAACGTAGGCACTTGATTTTGCGCTCATGAAAGCACTTCTTGTTTCTAATTTATGCAATTTTTGACACGATTAGTAGCTTAGAATCCTTAAGCGATCATTTTGAAGGACTGCCTTTTTATTTTCAAGTGACGAAAAAAATCCTCATTTTTTATCATCCTTGATGTACGCAGAGGTTATTTTAATGTAGCCTTTTATAAAATCACAAAAGGTTAATTTAATTGCTTCTTTCATATCTTTGTAGCATATTATGGATGAATTTTTTAAACAGGTAATTTAACTTTTTCATACGAAATGTAAAGAAACGGAATTTGCCAATAAGGCAGTTGGGTAGCATCAACGAAACTAAAACGAAGGAAAGAGCACGTACCAAACGTTTGAAACTTTCTCTATTAAGTGAATCACGTATTACATTTTCTGAGAAGAAATGGCACAGGCAACATCCCTAACATTTATTGGTTATCACTAGCAATATAAATTCACCCTGACAACATATGTAAAGAAATTATGTTTTAATTATTTACTTTATACATATGTACATATATAATTGTTCTAACTGAACACTCTAAGTCCCCCCTTGGTCAAATTAAAATGGCGCTTATAATCTGCCAACGACGTTAATACAGCTAAAAGCGGTATTGACCATAGCAATACCAAAATAGGCGATTAATAAAATTAATCGCGTTCAAATGCTGAAGAAAGTCAAAATGATAAACAAAAACATGTAAATTTAATGCCTGTTTCCACAATAATATGAGTATGTGATTTTAATATATTCGTATTAAAGTTCACATGAGGAGTTCGCGAGGAAAATCTTCGCATATTACGTGGCAAAATAATGTTTACGTAAATTGCTTTTACCTTTCGCCCCGCTAACTTTCCCGCCGGGAGTAAATCATCACTGTCAGCCTTTCCTCGTAAATGTATTTTAATAAAATGGTACGGTTGACGAATAAAACGAACGCAGTGACGCAATAAACGATGTTACGCAGATAAAAGTATAGATAGGAGTTATGCTAGGTTTCTGAAGTTTCTATTTATTTTATCATCACCTAGTAATTCATTAGTGTTAGGTTAAACTAAGTTTCAATGGAGTAAGATTCAAGTTAC